ACCCCAGGTTGAGTTTCTGGGTTATCGTATAGACGAATTGGGCATTCACCCCATCGACAACAAGCTGAAGGCAATTAAAGAAGCCCCTACACCAAAAAATAAGACTGAACTTCAGGCATTCTTAGGACTATTGCGTTTTTATAGTATCTTTTTGCTGCAGAAAGCAACCGTTGCTGAACCACTCCACAGGCTATTGGATAAGAAGGGAGCCTGGTATTGGGGACATAAAGAAGCTTCTGCCTTCACAGAAATAAAAGGTCTTTTTTTTTATTTAAAAAGTTTTACAAATACATTTTCTCCCCAGTTTCCCCCCCCCCCAAGCCCCCCATACCCTCCCTAGCCCTCCCCTTTTCCTCCCCTGGACTTCCACAATATAAAATCCTAATCGAAAAATACATTTTATAAAACTTAAATCCCTCCACCCCCTATATACTATTTATACCTTCATAAAACTCTATTAATTTGTCCCTACATAATACATTCATTCAACTAAAAGCTATCTGATATTTCTTAGTTTGATATTTATTCTGCACATAATCTATCCACTTTTTCCACTCCCATACATAAATCTCTTGAGTTCGGTCTTTTAAATATGCTGAAATCTTCACCATCTCCGCAAAACTAGCCATCTTCAAAGTCCATTCTTCAATAGTGGGCATAGCTTCATTCTTCCAATATTCACCTATCAATAATCTCGCTGCTGTCACCATATACAATATCAACTTTGTTTCGCCCAATGTAAAACCCTTAACTATACCCAATAAAAACAATTGTGGAGAAAACTGAAGTTTTTTCTTCAAAACATTTTGCATAACCCACCAAATTTTTATCCAAAAAGCCTTCACTTTCTTACAAGCCCACCACATATGGTAATATGTGGCATCCAAGCAATCACATCTCCAGCATTTAGAAATAAAAGGTCTTTTAACGTCACACTGCGTATTAGTACAATACAATGACATTTTACCCCTCATCCTGACCTGCGACGCCTCCCCCTTTGGCATTGGCACTGTCCTCAGCCACCGACTACCAAATGGCAAGAAAGCTCCGACTGCATTTTATTTCAAGACACTGGCAAAAGCCTATCGGAATTACAGTCAAATAGATAAAGAAGCATTGGCTGCAGTTGCCAGGGTGAAAAGGTTTCACAAATACCTATATGGAAGAGAATTTTGAATTCATCACAGACCATAAGCCACTTCTAGATATCCTTGCAGGAGACAGATCAACCATGAACATATTGTCCCAGGGTGACAAGATGGGCTGTTTTTTGGCTGCATACAAATACCGTCTGATACACCGGCCTGGAAAGACCATCGACCATACAGACGCACGGCCTCAGCCGATGCCCACTCCCGGACCTGGTGGAGGACTCTACACCGGCATCATCAATCTTCCAAATAGAAGAAATCACAAAGGGCCGCATCACGGCAGCCGAAATAGAAAGACAAATGGCAAGACAGAACTTTGGCATGAATTTTAAACTGGGCACGAAGAGGTGGCCAGATGGAACATTGGGGGATGAACTTAAACTGTTTAAAATCTGACAGACGGAAATGTCTGCAATGAAGGGGTGTTTGTTATTGGGGGATAGAGTTGTTATACCACAAACCTTAAGAGAAGCTGTGTTGGAAGCATTGCATGTGGGGCACCCAGGAATTATGAGGATGAAAGCATTAGCTAGGAGCTATGTATGGTGGCCGGGATGGATAGATAGATAAAGGCTTGGGTCACCGCATGTAAGCTGTGCCAGGAAACCAGGCCGGCATCACCCATCGCACCCACACAAGAATGGGACACACCCAGGGAACTCTGGTCCCGATTACACATAGACCTCGTAGGGCCAGTGCAAGGGAAAACATTCCTCATAATAGTAGATGCCTATTCCAAGTGGCTGGAAGTAACAATCATGGCCACAACCACAGCAGAAGCTGTTATTAAGGTACTGAGGGGACTATTCACAACACAAGGATTACCGGACATAGTGGTGTCTGACAACAGCCCCCAATTTACAGCCAATCCATTTGAGATGTTCTTAGCTGAACAAGGGATCCACCATGCCCTCTCTGCGCCAGGGCATGCAGCCCTGGCTGGATGGTGAGATCCACTAAAGAAACCAGGAGATTGGCAAACAAAAATAGACACCTTACTATTAATTTAGCACATCACCCCCAGTGCAACGACACACACAAGTCCACCAGAACTACTGATAGGTAGGAAATTAAGGTCAAAGTTAGACAGACCCCCAATACAGTGCAGAAGTACCCATAGACTTCCACCAGCAAATGCCGGTCATTCAGAGTGGGAGACCCAGTATATGCCCACAGCTATACAGGGGGTACTATGGGGGTACCAGGAAGGGTAACCCAGATCACAGGTCCCCCATCTTAATAAATAGAATTAAGAGGACGGTAAGGTCTGGAGAAGGCACATTCACCAGCTCCCGGGACGAAGAACACACAGTGCCCGTAAACAAACAGAGTCAGACCAGGCCCTGACAACTAGAAATACTAATGCACAATTAACTCACTTCCCTATGCTATACTCAAGCCGGGAGGATGAATGCAATAACTTAGCTGAGGAAACAGGAATCCAGCCAAGGGTCTCTGAGGAACCTGGGGTCCGACCAGGAGTCACGGAAATAATCCACGCCATGGAATCAGTCAGGCCTCCGGAAAGGTTTGAGGTGGTTCCACAGGCAGAGGTGGGAGCGACAGAAGGTTTGCCTGCTCAGACCGCCGATGCTGAGTCAAATGAATTGCACAGGTCAGGGCACACCCATAGAAGGAACGCCTACTTATGGGACTACATCTCGTAACACATTTTGATTGGATAACTCTCAACCAAAAGGGAGGGGTATTGAATATGCAAGTAGGAGTGAGTCTTACATCAGCTTTCACTCATTGGTTCATTTTCCCGCCAGCAGGAAAATTAAAAAGCGTCAGTGGCTGACAGGCTGGACAGCTCCCGGTAAAAGGAGCTGCAGCCTCGGGCAGTTCTCTGTTCGTAGTTAGTTTGTTGTTGTTCCCTATTGCCTGCAATAAACGGTTGTTTTACTACACTATGATCATCCTGCCTCTCTTTTCATATCCGGATTTAACACTGTATATCATTGTTTCAAGCTTAAGGGAACCATTTCCATATAAAATGAAGCTTCTGTGCTGAACAGTCTTCTCTAATATGCTGACCAATATTCATATTACTGTAAAATCTCAAGACCAAATGGAGGAGGTGACGATAATGTCTGTTATTCCCAATTATCTGTTAAATCAAAAAAGACATCATTGAAGGGAATTACATCATGATGCAGATTAACAAATGATTAATGATTAAAAAATTCAATGGGAATGTAGTGTGTTGCTTGTGAACTCTGTTGTTATAATCTAAACCTAGTCCTCTTCTTTCTTTAGCATCCTGTAAAAGCTTATATTTAATTCTTGGTTTTTTGTTTTGCCAAATAAATTTAGTTATATCTTTCTGCCACTGTTTAAAAGAAGAATCTTTAATCAATATCGATATAATCTGAAATAAAAATAAATAATAATTATGTTAAAATATGGAGGGAGATAAATTTAAATAGATAGGAAAAACTAGATTTGTCACTGATGGGAAGAATTTCAGTAATTAAAATGAATGTAACAGAAGGCAAATATCACTTGGAAGAACTGCAATGTCTGGCATAAATAATATCTGGAAGAGTAAAGACATCAGTGTTAAAACCAAATGCAGATTAGTTTACTCAATATTTTTCCAATTGCTGCTTATGGCTGCGAAACGTGGACTCTGAAAAAGGTAGATAGGAGAAGGATGGATGCCTTTGAACTGTGGTGCTGGAGTGACTTATGCACCCCATGAACTGCAAAAATAACAAAGATTCTCACTAAAAATATCACTTGAAGCCAAGATCATCAAACAGAGGCTATCATACTTTGGTCATGTCTTGAGAGCTGACTCACTCAAAAAGTCAGTCACAACCCTGATTATGATAACTACCTAGTGTTATTTTAAAAGTTTCCTTCTCTGCAATTCACTGGCTGTATTTTCCATCATGCACCTAACCTTCAAATTACACAACCACACTTTGGCTTCAAAATGTCTGCAAACCTTTCCACCAGGTGTTACCTTATAATGTACATTGCCATGGTTTATGGTGCTGTATATTCTACAACAACTGAGTTAGTTGAATAAACCAAAATAACCATGGTGAAGTTTCGATATGCTAGTAAGGGTGATTTACTCCAGGTGGTTAACTTCAGAAGGAGCTAAACAACTCTGTTTTACTGTGTCCTTGGCTGCTAATGCCAATTTCTTGAACACAAAGCAGAAAATTAGCTAGCCCTGGCATTTATTATTTTTATCCTTTCCTAAAATATACTTCCTGATTCCAGAAGAAGGTGATGCCACATAACTGCACCAACTGCCTCCAGAAACCCTTGATTGGGGTTGGTTTCCATGAAAACTACATCATCTTGAAGTTACCAACTTTGATTTGAAAGAGAGTTTACCACAGTTTGGAAATTCTGCTAAGAAATCCACAATCCATTGCACTGATTTTTCAGCTGCATTGTAGTTCACCATGGAGACTTGGGGGGTGGGGGTGGGAGAGACAGATTTTTATTTATTTATTAAATTTTTATCCCACCTTTATTACTTTAATTGCCATTCTCATGTTAAAATGGTAAATGTTGCATCTGTAAATGTAGATCCAAGGTTGATGATTGGTTAATCCCAGACCCCATTTTTAATAATGAAAAAATGTTAACAGTGGAACATTTATTTTAAATTTTAGTTTGGTACAAGAACCTAGTTGTGGTTCCTTCTTTTCCTTGTAATAAAAGGACTTAGGTAATGGGCACAGATCTTTTCCAATATGCTTCCTGCAAAGATACCAAGATTTAAAATTTCATAGGATATTATATTCATTATGGGATGGGGATCTGCTGATTTCCAGGAATAAGATGTCACTTGTTAAACAGCTCTTTTCTCTTTTTATTAATCAGATTCCTATGAAGAGCTCAGAGAAAAGCATTTTGAAGTATATGCCCAGCAAAGCTCATCTCATCTCAAGGGTGTTATTCACCTCCCTTCTGCCTCTGTCTATGAGTTTGGTCAGCCATGGCTAGAGAAGTTTATTTATTGCTTCTTTTATTGTTCTGTGGGAGAACAATTTCTGAACGGCAGCCTTTGCCTCAAATGCCTTCTGAAACTCTAGATTTTGGGTATGTTCCCCACAAGATATACAACACCAATGCTTATTATGAGCCCGGAACAATAGGGATTTTGTTCCACATTGTCCACGCTTTCCTCTGCATTGTTCAGCCCAATTACTTCCCTCAAGGTAGGTATATATTAAATATTAATTTGTCTTTGAAAAAATACAAGGAGATACTATCTGAGATGGCAGTTTTGCAAAGCAGTGTAGTTTGAGTTTATGTTTTGAGAGAAACTCACTGTGCCAAACCAACAGAAGAGTGGAATGATTTTCTTGTGAATAGTTTTAGATATATATGTGTGTATGTGTGTTTTGCTAAATCATCAAAAAGAAGAGTAGTGGAAAAGGTTTTAGAAAAAGAAGCCATCTAGCACTTTCCCCCAGAACAAAAATTGTGTTTTGAGGCAAGATGGTTGTGCATAAAAAGTTAACTTGTTCCTCTTTGAGGGATCTGATTTCTGAATAATCTTACTCTCTGATTATTTATTTGTTAAATTTATTTGCCACCTGTCTCACTGTGGGGCTACTCTAGGCGGTTCTCTTATTTTTGTCTTACCAGGTAGAATAATAATTGGGGATGGCAGAACATCCCCAAAGTGAAGAATTTGGAAATGTCACATAGATGAAATGGGGGATGTCATTTCTCTCCATAGATATTTATAGAGGACATAGAGAATGGCCTTGAAGGACAGGAGAAAATGCCACTACCAAGTTAGTGATCAGATAAGGGGGCTTCTATACCTGTCCATTTCTTAAAGTGGACATTCAATACTGAATATGCCATATTGTGTATTCATGGGTGTTCCCATCTTGTGATTAAAAAAAATCCTGGCTATGTATTGATTGATGCTAAAGTATATCTGTGAGTTGCTTAAGAACTCTACTGACAATATTATTAGCTACTTTTTTAAAGCAGTAGATGTACTGTTATACAGTTTTCAGTAGGACACAACTTTTATTAAAAGAATTAATTGCCTGGCAATGAGAAGCTAACAAGAGTATCTAGAAAGAGGTTGAGAGACACAAACTGCATCTTTACATAATTTTAAGAGACATCAGGACATTGGTAACATCATATAAAGGTGGAATTTGCACAGGGATCACCCAGAAAGCTATGAAAAAAATCAAGATGGTGGCCGTGAATGCATGATTAAAGATCCATCCTTTTTTTTTTGCAAGTATCACCATTCTGACCCATTGTTGATTAGTTGCAGGTATATGCAACTAATCAACAAATTAATACTTTGCACCAAAGTATGTATTGATTTTACACCAACTAAAAACATGGACAGGTGGAATTGTGGTTATCCAGGGGAAGATGTAAAGGAGGTTTTAACAGCCAATGGTACAAAGAATCCCATCCTTTCCCCTTTCCCTCCCAGAAAAGCTTTCCTTTTTGATATCCATTTTGATATTTTTCAAAAGCCTTATAATAAATAAAAAGCCCTGGCAAAAGCCCTGGTTTCTTTATATGAAGAGATGAAGTTCTTTCTGCATAAATCATAAATTTCTTCGTGTTTCTATTACAGTAATTCAGAGAATTTTTAGTTTACAACTTGGCTTATCAACTTGGTTTTTATTTTACTTTTGTTTATCTATTTATCTATTTAAGTATAAAACAATGCAAACAAAGTTTTAAATATTTGTTTAGCAGCTTTCTTGTGTCTTGAGCAGCAGATTTCTAAACCTTCCTATGTCTCGGGCAACTTGTAGTGTTAGAAATAAGGGCAGAATAGTAAATAATACCAGGAGTTGTTAAACCTTAAAACTGATTTACCTAACTAAAAAAAAAAAACATAGATATCTCCTTGGTGCTAAAAAGACCAGAACAGAAACCAGGCAGACTTTCTTAGAAAGACATTTTAAAGTTGGGGGGAGGGGGGGTGTCTCCAGAGCAGGTGGGCTTACAGTAGGGCAGGTAGATGGTCTTAATGTCCATCAGGGCCTGGATCTTTACTTATTGGAGGTCTGGGAACTTTGGGTCAATGTTATTTTGGAAAGAATTGATATTTTTTTTATAGGGGTCTTGTTTCATTGGATAAGTGGGCAGCCATACAACTTTGAGAAATAAATAAATGAATAAATTATTGTATCGGACTTTTAAAATTCAAATACCAGGACCTCAGAAAAAAATAAGGTCAACAAGATATTTTCTCACATGTTAATCCCCTTAAATTATCTGTGTCTCATAGCTGCTAAATTGCTTCTCCCCATCTGCTTGTCTGCTTGGTACATTTTTGGGGTTTCAAAGAAAGCATCATTTGCACCCAAGCCTCACTTTCTCAATGCAGGGTTAACTTGTCATCTTTAGTCCAATGAGTTGCTAAAGTACAATAAACTGATAGATATGAGTTTTTTTCAACTTTGGCAGTTGTCAGTTATCAAATTCATCCTTTGATTGCTGTCAATAAGAAAAGAACCTAAAAAATTCAGATCTGAGTCTGAAGCATGAAATAACTGTCTCTTGGGCATTGAGCTGTTGTTACCTCAGGGAATTCAGTGTGTATTGTGTGAAGAAGGTGATGAGTGAGACTTGCAATTAATAAACATTCTGCAATGAATTTTCTTGGAATACTTTTCCTTCCTTTTAGGCAGAGTAGGCTTCTATTTTTCACTCCTCAAACAAATAAATTATGGGGATTTGGATAATATGAATTGATTGGGTCCTCTATAATCTCATTTATCCATATGTTGGTTTTTCCTCCTTGGTGATCTATGATGAAGGAAATAGTACTAATTTTATTTGTTTACTACTACCATTTCCTTTTACCTGGTGGACAAAAGTGTGTGTATAAGGAAGTTTGACCACAGGTATGCGTAGGTTGAGTAATGCGCACAAACGTACATATGATCATACTTATATAGACTTTTAAAATAATGATAAAAGGGATGGAATGAACTTAAAATGAAAAGAAGTTAGAAACTGAGAATCACTGTCATATAGACTCGTTGACTATTAACTTTGTTATATGTAGTAATTTAATTATGCAAACTTATTTTGTAAATTTTCTTGGTAGGAAATTGCAGGGATATATAGTAGTACTATAGTATGTAATGTCTTATCTTTAAACATTTTTGCCAGTTTCTCAGATGGCATGTGCCATCTATAAAACATTTTATATTGATTTTCCTTATATGCAGTGGACATTGTTAATTTATAATTCCTTTCCCATAATTGTTGCCATTTGTCTAGATCAATTGAATATCCAAAATTCTTTGCCCAAGTTATCATTGTTTCTTTTACTTACTCCTCCTCCAATTCAATACCAAGTAAGAAATTATAATTTTTCAAATTAATTTATCCTCTGTTCCTGTGTGTATCCTATCCAATTCTGTCTTTTCTAGATAAAAACCATATAATTTAGCATCTTTTTCATATCTTGTTTGTATCTGCATGTACATCCGTCTCAATCCCCTGTTCTTCCAGTTCTCGTTTCCCTTTCAATTCCCCCTTATCTGTTAATAAATCCCTGTATCTAACAATATTTCCAAAATTAAAAACATTTGGGTGTATTAAAGCTTCCATTGTTGATAACCATATTGGTATTTTCACATAATATTTATCTCTGACCTTCTCCCATACCAATAACAATGCATTCCTTATATAATGTCTATGTAAGTATGTATCTTATTTCTACCATACCACAAAAATGCATGCCATCCAGCTGTAAATCATGGCCTTCCAATGTTGATAATCTTATGTTTCTTAATTCAACCCATTTCTTCAACCATGTCGATGCTGCTGCCTGGTAATATAATTCCCAATTCGGCTGTCCAAATCCACTTTGTAATCTCGTATCTTGAAGCATTTTTATGCTTATTCTTGCTTTTTTCCCTTGCCATATAAATTTCCTTATTATCTTATTAAGGTGTTGAAAGTAAGTCTTTTCAATTTTTATTGGTACTGTCTGGAATAGAAATAGTAATCTTGGTAATATATTCATCTTTATTATTGCAATCCGTCCCGTAAATGATAATTCCACTTCTCCAAATCTTTCTCAATTTGTTGTTTTAATCTATAATAGTTATCTTCTTTTACCGTTACGCATCTTGAGGTTAAATATACTCCAAGGTATTTAACTCTTTTTACCACTTGTATATCTAAATTCTCTTTTATCTCTCTTTTTTGTTTTTCTGTAATATTTTTCACCAAAATTTTTGTTTTATCTTTATTTATTTTCAAGCCAGACTCCTTTCCATATCCCTCTATTTGTTCTAGTAATTTAGGGCCTGTTATTTGTGGTTCCTCTATGATGAATACTAAATCATCTGCAAAAGCCTGCAATTTATACTCTTCTTTTTTAATTTTCATCCCTTTTATCTCATTTCATCTAATGTTTCTATTTAAAACTTCTAAAGTCAAAATAAACAGCAATGGTGATAGAGGACATCTATTTGATTGCCAAATTTCAGGTCTCTCTGAATGCAAATCATCTTATTTAGCTACGGGAATGCAGTACAAAAGAAACAGACTATCAACTAAGGTGGACAAAATGCTAGGAAGAAAAAAAAAGTGAAGGCTGTTTTAATGTGTTTCCTATTACAAAAAAATAAAATAAAAAATACAGCTGTGTCTTACAATGTTCTCTAAATTTACAGTTAATTAATTTTTTCAGTAATTGCAGTTGCCCAAACTTGGTTAATCACCTCAATCAGATGAAGGATCTAGAGTTTCTGTTTTTTAGGCTCTTTTAAAAAGGACACATGACTGATCATGCTGAGGAAATGAACTCTAAGATATTAGAAAGTGGGTCAGGTCAGCCATGAGAACACCTCGGTTGAACTCTTTTCTTAATCTGTTACAAATCCTCACCAGATGGTGACCTGGAAGACCAGCTCAAGTGAGCTATAATAAGGCAGGTTAATGAGGATGCAAACATCTAAGTAGAGTTAGCCATGTTTTGTGGAAAATGCAGAGAATTTTTCAGGAGTTTTATATTTGTTCCATCTGTTCTTTAAAATTAAGGGGAAAGCTTTTATCTTGCTTATTTAGATGCCTTAAGCAATAAAATGGGGAAATGCTAACAATAATTTGGCTTCCCAGGAAAGTCAAATATTTATTTGAAGGCAGGGTTTTCCCTCAATCTAAACCTTATATCTGAAAGCCATCACTAGAAAATTAAGAT